TGCTGTGCTCCGCAGGTTTCCAGTGGCCTGACCATTGTGCCTTATACCCTCGCGCGCGAGTCGCCCGCGCAGTTTAAAAGCCGCTCGTCCAGTCTGCGCCCGGCGACTCACACCACCCGATCCAGCCGGCGACACAAGAAACGGCAGCTAGTGGACACTGTGTATGCGATTTAAAACCCCCGACCTGTATGGCCTCGCGGCCCGCGCGTTAGAGTAGTAAACGAGACCCGACTTTGATTGCACTATAAGCGATGCAGACGCACTTGGCATAAAGCGTCATCCTGTCACGTGTTTTGTAATGTGTTGGCGAAGGATTACCCACATGCGCATATCTCTTTGCTCTTCTGTCTGTATTGTTGAGCACAGTTCAACTCTTTGTCTGTCTGTCTGAACGTGTGTCTCTGTCTCTGTCCATCGTTGGCTGCCCTTTCCGGCTTGGCCCGGCGCGTCGGCGGCGGCGGGCCCCGGCTATCCGCCGCGGCTATCGTTCAGTGACATTATTTTCGTTTCGTTTTCTGTTTCAGGTAAGTCCGTGCGATTGTGGGAATCTCCCGGGCGCATCCGGTGAGTGTGCGTGTGTGTGTGTGCGTGCGAGTGTGTCTGGCCGTCAGCGCCATGGGCGGGGGCCCGCCGCCTGCCTGGCGGCCTGGCGGCCCTGACGCGGCCCCGGCGCGGCCTGCTGGCAGCCGATAGCCGCGCGGCCGCCTGGTGATTGTCACCCTATCACCCGTCGCGCGGTGGGTGACGCGTTGCCCGCCGCGGGTGATATGGTTGATGTGGGTGATGTCTGCACCGGCAGGGGCCCCGCATAGATAGTCGTCTCTTTCTTGTGAGAAGGTGAGTCGCGCGTTTTGTGTTCGGCTAGGGCCGGGCCGCGGCGGCGGGGCGCGGGACTGACCGTATCCGCGCGGACAATGACCTGTCGTTATCTGTAGTAAGCGGGGAAGATCCGATGCGGAAATTTGTTATTTTCCCTCGGCGTTCCGTATCTACTACACACGCCACCGCGACTTCTATTATTGGGCGACTGATTTGTGTGCGTCTGGTCGACGCGGAGGTGCGTAGCCGGGAGGTCATCGTCACGGAGGCCGCCGTCGAGGCAACTCTCTTTCAACTGAAAAGTTGGAGCAAACCATCGTATGGTTTCTTAATGCCGCCGGTATGGTAAAAACTGTATTTTTAGTTGATACACACCTGTGCTGTTGTTTCCTCGGCCATATTACATGGTTTTGCCTTGAACCATTCGATGGCTGCTGCAGTTTTTCATTTTTCTGGGAGTCCTGGCCTGGCTCTATCCTAGTGTTTTAAAGACGGCCAAAATTACGCACTTCTTTTAAGTCAGAATGTATTTCTTTTGGGTGTTATCGAGTGTTATTTATCCCTAAAACTGGTTGTTTGACTTGATTAGGAAAGTAAGCAGTGTCATATTGTTCACAAACAAAACTAACGTTAAATTTTAGTGATGTACATCATGCTCGCAAAGAAGTGAGGCGTATTTTTTTAAATCTCTTGCTCAACATACGTTTCACCGCTCTATGCGCTTTCCCCTTGCACTCTGTCGCGCGTCGCGTCGCGCCGGAACGCCACCAGTCCTGTCGCCCCGTGTCGCCCGCCCGGAGACTGTCCCGCGAGAGCCGCATCAGATCTGGCTGGATCTGGACTCGGAGTCCGGTCGCAGCTGCGCGGCACGCTGACGTGGTTGGCGCAGCAGAGGGCAGTGTTCGATATAGGGTAGCCCCCTGTGGAGGTTATACACTAATGAGAAATCCATCTTTCGGCTTAGTAATTGTTTGGTACATAAAAAATCAATTCAGAGTGTGGTTTTCCCTATAAAATAAATTGTTGTGGGCCGTTATGGTGGACCGCTAGGATAAAGTGGCTCTGCCTCCGTGACAACCGTTTAGGGAGTTGCGCGTGCACCGCGAACTGCATCGGGTATTCTGGTGTGAACTTTTCTACAAACTAATTTGTCATTTATTCTTATTTTTTCACCGATTCGCAACCGCACGGTGCATCCTCCTTATTGCAGGTGTTTGACACTGTGTTTTATGTAGGCCGCCGAGCCGACCACCACCGCACGCCTCTCCCTGCGGGACGCTGTTCACCTGAGCACGGCCCCGCCCCGCCCCGCCACCGAGCCCACCTCGCCCGTCCCCGCCCGTATTTTGGGGGGAAGTGTAAAGGTGAATAAGTAATGGGCCGGGGGACGGCCTTATCGCGATATCGTATCGGCCGTTCGGCGGGGGCCCCGTACAGAGAGATCCGCTTCACCCCGTTAGACCTAATGCGTTGGGCTCAAACGATATCGCGCCGCCTCCTCGGCGTTATAGCGCGCCCTCGCCTCGTTAAACGGAGAGTAAGTCGGCCTCACGAGTCTTACGAGAAAAAGTTTCAACTGCAGCGAAAATAGGTGAAGCAGGCCGTTCTTCGTGTTCTTTTCATTTTCACGCCGATAACAACAACATTTTCTTTGCCTTTGCACTGGACGTTTCGACGATCACGTTGTGCCTTAACTTTCCGTCCAAGGGACGGTCGTTCTCCATAAGTGCGTCAATCTTTAGGTGTCTGGATTTGGCGAAGAAAATTTTCTTTCCCCTGAAAATTGGAGCACATGGCGTAAAACGCACGCATGAAACTGCACTTGGTCGCACGCACAGTCGTATTCGCCGTGTCCCTGCTGTCGAGGTGCGCCGGCCTGCTGGGGGGGAACTGGGTGGTGGGAGAGAGAGGGGGCAGCAGTGGAGAAGCAGAAGGGCGTCTGGATGCACGATGTGGTCGATGAGATCTGCGCGCGACAACTCTTAGCGTCGGCCCGCCGCACAGCACTGCTGGGCCCCGAACAATGGCGGCGGGTATGTCGATTCGCCGATTTGTTTGGTCGTACGAATAGCGTCAATTTGTGTCTCCGTGTGGGGCCTGGGAAAAGGAGAGGAGGGGGGGAGAGGGTTCGGCCTCGGTGCGCCGCCGCCGTGCTGCAGCCGGCCGGCCGGCCCCGGCGAGCGCGGCGGCGGCGCAACCGAGGCGCACTCACATTGCGGATTAAAGATATTGGCCTGGCGAAAAGTGAACTGATTAAAGGAAGGGAGCGAGCGGAGCGGGCGAGCACCACGGCAGTGGCCTCCAGCCAGTGCCTCAGGCCAGCCTCAGGCCAGCCTCCAGCCAGCCTCGGGGCGGTCCTAATGCGGCGATGTGTATCGCCGAGTGATGCTCCTGCGGCCGCCGGCCCCGCGCTCTCCCCCCGGTGACACCGCCGCCCGGCCCGGCGGCCTCTCCGCGCGGCTCGGCGGGCAAGTGCCTTGCGCCTCTACTCTCTACACGGCTGCCAGCGAGGAGAAGGCCATCCTCCTCCCCGCAGCACCCGGCCGTACCTATGGAGGCGCCGTCACTCATATCCCAGCCGGCACCCGGTCCCACTCAACCTCGGCGAAAAACGACTGCGGGACCAGCGACGTCAAGTCAGGCTGGACGTTCCCCTCCCTCTCTCGCTCTCCTCCTTCGCTCGCTCTCTCTCTCCCTCTCTCTCTCTCTCGCTCCCGCGGCCGGCCCCGCCGCACCCCGTTCTGCGCGCGATAAGGCGCATACTTTTCTCCGTTCGCCACGCCACTTTGCGTGCGGGCGAGAGGCTCATGGAGAGGCTGCGCCGCGCGTCGTGCTGTTTGATTGCGCCCCGGAGTGACATCCTGCTGGAGGAGAGTCGGGTCGGGATCTCCAGCAAGCGGCGGGCGGCTGCAGGAGATCCTGCTGGAGGAGAGTCGGGATCTCCAGCGAGCGGCGGGTGGCTGCAGGAGATCCTG